AAAAGATCCGAAGGAATTGAAGGAACCGAAGGAGAAGAAAGAGCCCAAGACCCCAAAAGCCCTGAAGATCCCCAAAGAGCCAAAGGAAAAGAAAGCAAAAACTGCCACACCAAAACCCAAATCCAGCAAAAAGTCAACTTTGGCTGTGGGTGGAGTCAAAGGCCACAAGGCAGACCAGCCCCAGACTGCAGCACTCTTCCTGGGGGAGTGGAATGGCTGTGGCTTCTCCATCCATTCTTGAGCACCTGCCGCTCATACAGCAAAAAGTGAAGGTTTTTGTACATTCCAAACCTTAGGACTCCACTGTTAGGAACTGTTGATTTAGAGTCTTTACTGGATTAAAAATATATATATATATATATTATTTAGCAACCAAGTGGGTGAGAAACCCAGTAGCACTCATCATTAGACATGGCTTCAAGGACAAACAGTGGGGGCCTTAGCTAACAGGAAAGAGTCTTTGCTGTGTACTCCCAACCCACTCCCTGTCCCCCTAGAAGGCATATTTTTTCAGTAAGAAAATCTGAGAGACGACATTGAAGACTAATTTTTTTCATTTGTTCTGAACATTTCTAACAACTGTTCTGAACCAGTTCCAAACATCTGAATCTGTTTTTCAGAATATGGCTCATGTTAGAAAATATAGTTTCCAGACGCAAGTATGGCCAGACTTGGTTAATCTGAGCCCGTTTGCACACTCTGATAGAAGACATGCTCCACCCTCTGTCCTGGGTGCACCCGTACTCACACGGGCTGTTGCCTTACACTTTTTATGATGACTAGCTGTAGCCCTGTGGCTGGGGGCCTATATTGTATGTACGGGTGCAGGCATACCAACACAGAGGAAATGGTAGTTGTACCAGGAGAGCGAAAGGGCAGACCTCTCCAGTGTCCTGGTAGGGATAGCAACAAGATAACTCAGATCCAAGGTTATACTGTGTTGATGGTGTGAATCATTTTTTTTCTTTCTTTCTTTCTTTCTTTTTTTTTTTTTTTTGCCATAAATGCCTTTTATGGTGTCCAGATAACTGAGTGTATGCAATAATTCAAACTTACCAATAACTTTGTCCAGTTACAGTCAGGCTCCAATTCCTCAGTATCTAGTCTCTTTGTTGAAAACACTTTTTCTCCTAATGAAGATTTTTCTAAGCCCACAACTCATTACAAAGCCTTTACATTTATTAAAGAGACATTTTAAGTGCTTCTTTGTAGGTGAGTGTTGGAACGATAATGATGAGTATGTAAGATGTTAGTCTGACAGTATGAGTTTGTTTTTAAAGTAGGTAACTGCCCAGATGTAAGCACTGTGCTTTGGTGTGAGGAAGCCCATATTACATCTCCCAGAGAGCGAAGTCAAATCCTAATGTGACGAAGAATGTCCTTTCTTGTTAAGGTGTAGGTGTATGTACCAAGGAGGCTTTCTGGACCTTAGAAATGCATCACTAGCAGTATCAGTACCAGGATAATTTGGATTCAATTTTCATTGTAATTGTTTTGATTTTTCTTTTCTTTTTCTTTTTCTTTTTTTAACCTCACTGTGATAATGGATGGAATTGTTCTGGGTTTCTGACATAAATTTGCATCTATCTTCTTCAGCCCAAGTCTGGCTGACCTGGCAGGCCCCGTGTTTACAGTTTACTTGGACACACCCTTCCCTGCTGTGGAGCACTTTGGTGGTACATTCGGAAATGCTGTCTGTAATAGTGACCCATGTGGCAACTTCCTGACTGCTGGGGGTACCAGCTTGGGCAGCACTGGGTGTGCAGCATTTCCTAGGTGCAGTTACAGATCTGTGTTCACCCCGAGAGCTTTCAGGAGGGCTATCTCCAGGGTGGGTCAGCTGTCATCCCAAGCATGGCATTAGGGTCTCTGAGAGTGTTTGTTTAGCACAGCTTCCTGAATGGGGTTTGCACGTAACTCTTTTTGTAGGAGCAGGAGGGTTTTTTCCCTCAGGAAAAACGTATAGTTCTTTCCTTCTCCCTGTTGGTCCTCACTCTCTCCTTGTGAGATGTATAAACAAAAGCTGTTTTTAGTGTTAATGGTTTGAAAATCTTTGACTGGAACACAGTGATGTATGTGGAGATGTTCAAGTGACAGGAAGCTGATGGGGTGCATGCCAGAGACTTAGCAGGCCATGTTTGGGGGTTGCGTGTGTGTGTGTGTGTGTGTGTGTGTGTGTGTGTGTGTGTGTGTGTGTGTGTGTCACCTCTCTTAGCTTGGATAACATCACCATGTGTGTGCCCACTGGCTGATTTACAGTGAAGTGTGGCAAGGACCGTCCCCAGAAGCTTTCCTGTTGTTGATGGTCTTTCAGGATTGGCTGTCCAAACATAGGATAATTGCATTGAGATGTTAAATAAATTAACAAACCAAACCATTATTTTGTCAAACCACATTGTTGCTATTGGTCAGATGAATTGAGTATGTCAATTGTGGTCTCCTTGTTCAGTTACGTCTACAAGGAAATAGCATCCTTGAATCAAGGATAACGAGAATGCATACGACTACATGTAAATTCTGAATAGCATAGCAGAATAATTATGTAAATTGAATATGCAGTGATGAAGGTAATAGGGGGTTTGGGTTGTGTTAGTACTGGGGCTGAATTGCCAGAGCAGTTTGCGTCTACGCAGTAGAATACAACAGTGGCAATTTTGTTTTGCAAAATGCTATGTGATACCGGTTATTTCCATCCTTGAATAAGTTAACTTGATGAATTTGTTTATACAGAAAATAATTTTCCTACAGAGGACTGCAACAGAGGAAATAAACAAGTGAAATGAAAAATTTAGACTAGTAACTCCTCATCCCTTTCCTGCAGCCCGTGAGCTGTCTCATTGCTGCAGCTCTGCCAGCAGACATGCTGGCTTTGGAGTGGATGCTAAGGAAGTGACCTGCTGGTGGTCTACATCATTCTCATACCCTTGGTGATGAAGGATGCATGGAGGGTGGCTGCTAAATAGAGCTGGCCCGCCTGTGCCTGGTGCAGCCTCCTTGTCCCCTGGAGCCCACTCGGTTCTGTGAAGTGAGGAGGAGCTTGAGTTTGTAGACATACCCCACCTTGGTAACCAAACTACAATTCCTCATGTCTTTCCTATGCTGGACGGGAAAACCAGTTCTCCAGTATATTAGAATGAAGCCACTTTGAGTCCTAACGAGAAAAAAAAGGGCTCCCCCTGGGCCATAGTCCTCTTCTTTGGTAGAACCATGTTCTTTTTCTTCCTGTTTTACTTGTAATATATTTTTCTACACCTCTTATTATTGCTCTCCCCAGGTGCCCTTATAGCTTTCAAATATTGGCTGTTAATATTGGAACTAAAGCCAGGACCTCTGTGGCTGGAGAGGATGCGTTTTGCATGTGCAAGGATTCTGGGAGGCTTTGCATCCTCCTTTCAGGGTGGCTTCTGTTGTGCATGCATGGGCTCTGTGAAGTGAGGGAGAATTCGGAGGAAGTGCTTCCTTTCAATGATTCTTGAAGGATTTAGTGGTCCATTTAGCTACATAAAGATTCTTTGAATGTACAGAAAGAGGGGAACTTGGCCAAAGATTGTGACTTGACTGCTGAAGCCTGAATTAAATGGAGCAGTGTGACTGCTGCTAATGCGGTTTCTAGGAACACATTTTGTTCCTTGCTCTGCTCCCCACTCCCAGGGTTAAATTTAGCAGAAATGAAAATATTATTTTTCAATTGAGTGAAGATAGCTTTTTGTTTTAAACCAGAAAATAAACATACCACTCTTGTTTTTTAAAACCACACAGAGTACCAGAAATGTGTGAGGTGTGCTTTTTGCAAGCTCCTGTAATTATCATTAACAATAGTAGTGACTATTTAGCAGTGTCCTGGGGAACTCATTTTCTCAATTCTAATCTTACAGAGTTAGGGTGTTTTTACCTGAGAACTACTTATTCAGTCAGCAAGCCCAGTGCCTTGGTAAGCTAAAATGTCTTTGCCGTGCGCTGTGTCTGTAAAGCTTCTTGGTGGAAGTCACAGATAAAAACAGCTCTTCAAGTCAGCCTTGGTAGTGAGAATGAAACAGGTGCAGGCACACATATAATCAGGTGTCTGCCCAGCGAGTGTGTAAGTCGTGAATTAAGTTCCTACCTACTCTTATCCTTTCTTCTTCTTCCTTCTTTCTAATCAAAACACTATGATTTAGTTTTGATTCAAAACATTGGAAAATCAGATGTTGTTTTGGCTCATACCTGCGGAAGAGGATACACACACACACGCACGCACGCACGCACGCACGCACACGCGCTCGCGTGCATGCATATGTATTTCAGGTGTGTGGGTATAAAATGAAGCTCTGAGCCCTTTTAGTGCTAGTGAGGAAGAAAGAAGGAGTAGTACCCATGAGAATCATGCTGGCTCAGCCTCTGAAGCTGTCTTGCCAAGTCTCTTATTTGTCAAGTCAAGTTAGAGATGAACTGCCAGTATCTACCCTGCTATCTCAAAGCTTCTTTTCTCTTGCACAAAGCCAACTAACAATGGTTCCAATCACCAGACCTTCTTCCCTTTGGGCTAACCACCTCAGTGCCTCTAATGTGGTCCTTCCTTTCTAGTTTGGAGCAGGAGAATCATCAGGCAACTTGGAAAGCCAGTTCTGCTCCATTGTTCTTTTTCTTTTCTTTCTCCTTCTCCTGCTGCTGCTGCTGCGGCTGCAGCTGCTGCTGCTTCTGCTGCTGCTTCTGCTTTGGTGTCTGCAGGAAAGGGTGCTGTGGCCCTACCTCTGACCTCTCATTTTGCCACCAAATAACAGTGGAGAGTCAAGGAGGCCATGAGCAGCAGTGAATACAAGAGGGCCACTTCTCTACAAAAAAAATATTTTTTTCAGTCTTAAGCAGAGTGTTAAGGAGGAGTGTGGTTTTGATGTTATTCCTGGGAGAAAAGGACAAAAAGGATTGTGGGCTGATTTTCTTTCTTTCTTCCTTTTTTTAATTAAAAAGTTTTTAATTATGTGGGAATACTTTGGAAAAATATGAAAATCTGTACAAGACAATGTTCATCTCCTGATGTGTAAAGATGTTTGGCAGGTTAGCCTGGGCCTAGCCAAAGCCCTCCGGAAGTCACTGGAGGTCAAAGCCACAGCATAAAGAACCAGGTAGCTTCCCTGCTATTGTCCCCATCTGCATGTG